CTCCTCTCCTCTCCTCTCCTCTCCTCTCCTCTCCTCTCCTCTTCGTCTTATTTACAACATACCCATCCAAATCTGCAATTTACTGGGGCTTTTACACATAAGTTCTCTTGTATAGCCCTGATTTATCCTCCTTGCTGAATGAAATGTGGATCATAGGAGGGAAACTGCACATGAGCGAACAGCTTGGACTTGCCCAAGTGTTTGTGTGTCTTCTATTTCCCTGTTTGAGTAGGGTAGAGTTGACCCTGTAGTTGCAACAAATGCTGTGAGAGAGAGCATTGAGTAAGAAATGAAACATCTCATTCATTTTATAGACACTAATTAGCAAAACTGCGATGAAAGTGCCAATTAAAACCCCAAATGTATGGGTTTTGTGCCCATTGGAGTGAATAGAAAATGAAGATCTCTTTCCAAAAATGAACCTCTCACTGAGGATGAATTAATAAAACATTTTGATACATAGGCAAGTGAAGGCAAAGAGGTAAGAAAAGACAAATGCCCGATCCTTGCTTGTCTCCATTTGAAGGGAGGGAACTTATCCACTCATTCAGTTTTGAAGAGCAAACTGCTTGTGCTGAGGAACATCTGAGAAGCCCACGCTGCTCGTATCACACGCTCTCATTCCTGTTCTTGTGGGCAGGAGGAAGTGTTTGCTCCTCAACTGCTTAACTGAGTCCCTTTATAGAGGGCTCAGCTGCTGATAGACTGAGGTCTGCATTTTTTTCCTCTGGTATTCTTAAAAGCTCCACTTCCCTCTAATCTATTAAGAAAGAATAGGATTAATAGCAAAGGAGGACTTGGGGAGAGTGACTCTAACAGAGCTAGGTTTCTTAGTGTGCTTCTTGGTTGTACTAAAGAGCTCTAGCTGCACTTATTTTAGCACATTCCCCTATGAACCGATAGTTGGCAGAGGAGATGTTTGATGGCTGATAAAGCATAGGCTGGAGTGTCAAATGATTTAGGTTTTATTTTTGGCACAGCCACTAATTTCTTTTATTTTTGATGTGGCTTTGGACAAGTCGTCTTTTTGTGCATCAGGTTTCCCTTTGCAGAGAGCAGCGAGTAAGAGTATGCAGCTTTTTTGGAGGTTTGTTTTCCGTCTTAATTAAATGTTTGCAGAGCCGGAGGGCTCCGAGGGAAGGCAGGCTGAGCATAAAGAGGTGCTGTGTTATTTCTGACACGGCTACTGACTATCCCAGTACTTGCTCCTGGTAAAGCTCRTATGCCTCTGGATTCAACAAACTGCTTTAGTCTTTCTGATTTTCTTGCCAGTATTCTAACTTTAACAGATGCAGCGAAACAYTTAAGAAGTCATTCTTTAAAATTATCTTTTAAATAAAAGCAAAACTTTCTATTTTCCACTACTGAATAACATTCCTTGCAGTTATTTTGGGGAGGGTAGGGCTCTTCCAAAGTGTTACTGCCCAGTGCAGGAGGCTGAACCGTCCTGTTGGTGCCGGWGGCCAGAGCAGCTCTGAGAAGGCACCATCCCTTGCACGAGAGTGTCCCCCACAAACAGGACACCCCACGTGGCTGGGGAGATACAGCTGCTCCTTTCCTAGGTGTCCTCAGCTCCTGACAAGAGTAAAGGTGASCTGCTGTCATCACAACTAGAGCTGAGAGCCAGCTCTTCCCCCTTAGGAAACCAGAAACAACTGGGTTTCTGATGATCCCAAACCACATGCCACTGAATAACCATTAGATGTGAAAAGTTTTCCTGGAAAGTAGGAAGGGGCTTTGCTCAGGCCAGTCCTTTGCTGCCAGACAACTGTCAAGCATTTGTGAGCAGATGCTCTGTGCTGGACCTGGTTATTTCAAACTCTCAAAGCTCCAGTGGTTGGAAAACTCCCATTTTTAGCTTTATTCACTGGCAATTTTATAGCTATTTGTTTGCGCATAAATAATGGTTGTTATTTTCTTAGCTGAAATAACTCTCTTTTAACTCCTGCTACAGTCCTATTTCCCTGTCTTTCTGTTCTTAAGCTAATCAAAGTGAGCAGTTTTAGTGTCCACTGACATGGTAGTCTTTTCATTTTTCTCCTCCATCCCAGGGTCTTTTTTTTTTTTCTGCACCAGTCCTTATTTTGCTGGATTTTGTTTGACTGTGGGTGATTTGGATTATGTACAGTAGGCTAGGTGAARTTTTCAGTACTTTGTCAAAAACACGAACATTGTATTTTGAATAGAGTTTGCTTTCTTAATTCATCATAGATTTGCATTTGCCATCCTCCAGTCTGCCAAGTATTGGTGTAGTCACCAGGCGACTCTGTCACTTCTCATGTTAATTCCTCAGCTTGAAGCAGGTTCTCCTCTGTCTATAACTGCCTTACTTGATACTTTTTATTCCATTTTTGTTTCTTCAGTCCTTGAGACTCTCCAGTTCCTCAGCTACTGATATTTCAGTCCTCTTCTGTATTGACACATTCCAATTTTGTGTCATGAGAGTTTGTTAGCAGGCTCTTAATTCTTACAGCTTTTTCAATAAAGTCCAGTTTCAAAATTGCTAGAGGCTCTTTTGACAAATTAGTCTCCCTTTTTTTCCTCACTATGTTTTTCCTTCATTTTTTTCCCCTATTTTATTCATTTCAAAGTATTTCTACCTCAGATGTATGAGCTCTACTGGGTTTCCCACGTCTTACAATATACTTTTTTAGCAAGAGATTGCAGTATGAGTTATCATGGGTAGACCTGTGTTGCCTTTGTGGGGGGGATTCCTTCATTGCTGCATTTCAATTATTTTTAGAGGTTGCTGGTGACACTGTCCTTATCCCATTTCTCTGCCAGCTCAAAAGTGGTAACTTTTGAACTTACCGTCTCCTTTCAAGCACCCTCAACAGGCAGCTAAATGTCTGGAAAAGAGCTGAGGCCCAACAAATTAGGTGAAAAGAGGTGAAGAAGGATAAGAAATTGAAGCAGGGTGAGTGCCTCTGTTGAAGAGAAGAGCTTCAGAGTGATGGGTAGATGGGAGAGCAGCCGTGCAGGGAGGAGGCCAGGGTGGGATGCCCCGGCCACGGGAGGTGCTTTGGCCAACGCTCATGTTCTTCAGTGCTGGAGAAGCCGGCCATGAAAAACAAATCTGGAGGGAAGGAGCCCCTGTTTTATGGAAGAGCCAGCAGTAGCGTTAAGGGATGTGACTTCCAAATCTCAGCAGAGCGATTTTTGCCCCCGTTTGCTCCTGTGTGTAATTGTGAAGAGCATCTGCTGCGAGGCTCTCYGTGCAGGGAACAGGGGAGCAGACTCGAGCCTGATGATAACCCTGTTTTCTGGAGTGCACCACRAATGGAAACTCCTGCCAGATGCTACTGGGGTAAATAATTTGCCCTGGAAAGGGGTAAAACCCGGGGAGATCTTAGCTGCCTTTTAGTGTTTKTTAGTGGCCATCGTTTCCCCTTTTCCTCTCCACCTCGTCCTGCTTGCAGGCAGTGGGTGCCTTGCTTCGTGTGCAAGGCTGGTGAGTGGAGAGGTGGCTCCACTCAGTGGGCGGATGAGCCCACCAGTGTCCCGAGTCCCTTCCTGCCACATGGCCAGTGACTAGGACGTTGGGAATGGTCCAAAGTTGAAGGATCAGTTATCCCTGAGCAGTACTGTGGTGAGTCGGGATGAGCTGGGAGCTGTGCAGTGGGAACGTCCTAGTGCAGCTGCTTTACTCAAAAATCGTGCTGGCAGCATTGGTGATTGCTTAAATACAGAAACACAGACATCATACATTATATTCTACATACATATGTAAGTTATTCCTTTTTTTTTTTTTCAGGAGGAGAGGCAAGGAAGGTGCTTGTGATAACACAGTGAATGCACCAGTTAGGAAGATAGACTTTTAATCTCCRAGCTTCTAGTTTGTGACTCCTTAAGTTTAAAAATCAAGGGATTTCCCCTTCTGATGTTCCTTGTTTGGAGACATCTAGAAGAAGGGAGAGAAAAGGATATCTTTAGCAGTCTGGATTAAGCTGCCACACTTGGGTTGAAAACACATTTTTCTGAAATGCAGTGTGCCAACTAGGCTTCTCTTCTCTGAATCTTCCWCTAAATTTTCATACATTTCATATGCCTTGTCTTCATGGCTAATAAACCYGTGCAGAATCCTTTCCTAAGTGAGTTTCTTCTGTGTTGCTAATCTTTTACTTGCAGAACATGTCTGGTTGTAGAGTGCCTGCTGGCAGCCTTCAGACTGATTTGTACAATGCTGGATCTGGCTGCAAGCATGAGGTTCATAGAATCACAGACTGGTTGAGGTTGGAAGGGACCTCTAGAGATCACCTTGTCCAACCCCCTGCTCCAGCAGGGACACCCAGAGCACGGGGCACAGGGCGGCAGCCAGGCGGGTTTGGGAGATCTCCAGAGAAGGAGACTCCACAGCCTCCCTGGGCAGCCTGTGCCAGGGCTCTGGCACCCTCACAGGGAAGAAGTTCCTCCTCACATCGAGATGGAACTGCCTGTGTTTCAACTTGTACCCATTGTCCCTTGTCCTGTCACTGGCCACCACTGAGAAGAGCTTGGCCCCTTCCTCCCTACATTCCCCCATCAGGTACKTCTACATATTGATCAGATCTCCTCTCAATCTTCTCTTCTCCAGTCTAAACAGGCTCAGGTCACTTAGTCTTTCCTCCTAAGACAGATGTTCCAGTCCCTTAATCATCTTTGTGACCCTCTCTAGAAGCTGGACCCTCTCTAGAAGCTCCACGTCCCTCTTGTCCTGGGGAGCCCAGACCTGCCCCCAACACTCCAGGTGCGGCCTCACCGAAGCTGAGCAGAGGGTGGCTCATGAGAKGCCTGTTCTTTTGCAGGACTCGTGTGCAGCTGAAGATGCCCAGACATTAGGGGTACCCGCTGGTCGGTAGCCCCTGCTGGCAAGTGGAGAGGGGCGACGCTGCCCCTTGCTTGTCAAAATCCCAGTTTTGAGCTCCGTGGGAGCCCACACCATCAAGCACTGAAGGTCACGTAGCCAGCGCTGCAGAAACAGAAATTAGTTAGAACCCAAATGTGCAGAGCTTGAAAATGGAAACCTCAACTTTCAGAAGCTGAATGTGAACGTATTTCTGTAAAACTAACCTAGCAACACATGAGAAACTGTATACGATTTCACCTACCCTGGGTCCCATTAAGGAACATACAGTTTAAATATGGCATTTTAAAATATTTCCTTCATGTAATAAAAACTGTGCTTGTAAAGCAAATATACAGAAATATTTCTGAAATGTTTTTAGCAAAGCCTTAGGGTAGAATCTGGACATTTCTTTTTTTAAGTACCCCTATGGTTTGGATGCAAACTTTACAGCTTTATATGATTGCTGTTTATTATATGTAAGACAGAGYGCCTATATAATCTGTGTTAATGGTGTATGATATTTTGGGATTGGTAGCACATGGATATGTGGCACCAATGGGGTTGTGGTTCACGACAAGCATTTCAGTAACAACAACAACAGCGTGAGAGAAGCATGTTCTTTGGGACCACTGGGAAAAAGCTGCACAGTTCAGCCTTGTTGTGTGTGTTTATATTTATTTATTTTAGATACATGTCATGCTTATTTAATCTCGCATTCAAAACCTCTTATATAATGCTTTTTTGGATAGTAGGAGATGAAAAGGAGTAAGGAAATGGGAGTATGTGTTTGCTTCACAAGTGATCGTACAAATGTGCATGGTTGGTGGTTGCTGTTGCCTTTTGTTGTGGAAAGAGATGGAAGATTGAGGTTTTTTGGGGGTTTGTGGGGTGTTTTTTGTTGTGCTCATGTCTTACAAGCAGGAATGCAGGCCAGAATGGTGCTGTGCCCTCCCTTTAAAGCGGCCCTGGCTCCAGCAGAGCCTCAGCTAGTCTAGTTTTCCAGTTACTTCAGGGGATATTTGTACCAGCCCCTCAGCAAACGCCATGGGAGTTCACAGCTTAGTGCCTGGTAGGATCAGAAGCCTGCTGAAACTGAGCTACTTGGTTTCTTCCATGTATTTATAYGCTGATGTGGTATTTGCCTTTGCAGTCATGCAGAGGAAGAATGTTTTAAATTAAACAAACACAAATATTTTCATTAAAAATGCTCTGTCTTTCATTTAAATGTCATGAAAACATTTGTGCCTATATATGGGCCTGATCCCCTGTKCCATGTTTAAGTCAAGCAGCGTTTTACTTAAGTGAGACCTGAACCTGCAGGTACTCGAGGATTCATGAAGCCTGACAGACTTAGGGGGAGCTTAAACTAGTTCATTACAACAACCTTTAAGCTGAAGGCAAAAAAAGCAAAGGCAATTGAATGAGTGATGGCCAAGAACCTCTTCTTGCAATGTTTTAACCACAGGAGCACTGAATATGAGCTGTGCAAGCGAGAGTCCCCGGCGCCTGCGTAGCTGCTTTCCACGTGCTCTGCTGCTTTGGGAATCCTGCTCTGTGCCAGGGCTGCTGTGGAGGGTTGGGAGTAGCTGCAGCAAGACAGAGTGCCCCAGGCACAGCCCTTTCTTGTGCATATTGTCTCTGTATGTTCTTTATTGCCGTTTTGTCCAGACCTTACAAGCTATTTCCYTTTTTTGTTTCTCGTTTGGTTCAAGGCAGCCCTCTTCCGTACTGAGAGAAGAAGTCCAGGTGAAGAAAAAAAACATGCCTTTGTTTAGTAAATCGCACAAAAACCCTGCTGAGATTGTGAAAATTCTGAAAGAAAACATGGCCATATTGGAAAAACAAGAAAAAAAAACAGACAAGGTATGAGGTAATGTCGTAGAAGACTGATAAAGCTTTTATGCTGGGGAATGAGATGCTGGGGAGKGAGATGGAGAATAAAGGGAATGAGATGGTGTTCACCTGCTGCCCTGCTGCTGCAGGCGCTTTCACAAGTAAGTAACTGTGTGTATGAAGAGGTCTACTKATACCAGCGAGCTTTTGCATAAGCTAAAGGGCAACAGATGTGGGGAGGTCCAAAAAATTGTTGAGATCCAGCAGCCTCATCTAGAAAGAAAGGTAAAGTGCTACTGTGAATAGTAATCTGTCAAGCAAAACAGCCCACGAGACCATTTGAAAAATATTTCATTGTTAATTGCTTTAGCAGGGCGATAAATGAGACTGACAATTCAAGTGCAGGTCCCCACACAGCAGAACTTCTAATGAACATTGTTCTCATCAGTCAGCATATTTTGCATATAAATACTTATTTAGAGGTGTGTAAAAGATGTCACTTTATCAATCATCTCCAAACCTTTCGCCCTTCCTAAATGAAAGCTGCTGCTCTTATTCTAATCACAGGGCTACACTTTCACCATAGAAGCAAAAGCAGGATGAAAAACTGACTCTGACACAGACTGAATTTCCTTGGTCCTTGCACTTCTGAACTCTTCCAGTACCCAGTTAGGAAGCTGCATCCCAGCACAGAAAATAACCCCACTTAGGATTTTGTGCTTCTATAAGGGCAAATTATGACATGTTTTGTTTTGTGTTTTGGGTTTGTTTTTTTCGTGTCAGAGGCTCTTACCCTCTGTGGTAGTAGAGACCTAAAGAAGTATAGGCCTTTAATTAACAGCAAACTATTTTCAGTATAAAACTGAGTGGCAGTTTAACCAGAAATAGTTGATAAGCTAAAGCAGTTTTTAAACTCTCGGGCTGACTGACGAGAGAGTAGCTTGAAGTGTTAATGGATTTCAGTGAGGCCTCTGGTATTGGATGTCTCACTCCGAAATACCTTCAGTTAACTGAAGAGCTCTGAGAGAATTTGACTCTGAACTAAAACTGAGAATAAATAAATTACCAGATTCTCCCCTTGTCTGCTGAATGCATCCCTCAGAACCTGATTAAAAATGTTGTTCCAAGGAGAAGCTCTAGACTTTTTTTTTTTTTTTTTTTTTTTTTTTTTTAAATTTGCTTTGCTTTGCAACTACTCTGGGTTGTGGTTTTGAGGATTTGAGCATTTTTTTTGTTTGTTTGCTTGGATGTCAGTGACAAAGCAGGAGAAATTCAGGCTTCTTAGAAAATTGAAAACTTTAAATTTTTAATAAAACTCAGAACAGCTGGCGTGTGTTTTCCTCACAAATAAAAGATGTGGAAGATTTGCCCAGCTTTATTAGGATGGAAACAGCTTGCAGACTTCCTAACGGTGCTTATTCTGTGTTAGATTGAAGAGGAGAAACAAACAGGCCATTTAAAATATCTAACATGACAGACTTGTGTAAATTGTGTTCATTTGGCTTGTCCTATATTTTTAACACTTGAGCAGTCAGGTTAGTCAATAAGTTTGTGCTGCTTTTAWTGGGGAGCATTAAAGCTCCTGCTCCCCTCACCCCAGTCTTCTCTCTTGCCCTTGCCTGAGATTGAGTCATGGGTTGAAGATCAGGAAAACCATCAGCCTAAATGAGGAAATTTTGCCTGTCTTCCCCCACCATGCAAACCAAGCAGACCATTTTGTCTGGGTAAAGGAGAATGTGTCTCATTTTTGTTATCTCCACCCTAGTTTAGCGTGGCTGTGGGAGGCGGTTGCCATCACACACGCGATGAAGTTGAGTTGTCAAGGGAAAAGGAGGAAAGGAGAAGACACTTGTTTCAGGAGCAGGGCAGAAAGTGGAGGAAGCAGAAGTATTTTGGGCAGCATTTCCATGTGTRCTCATGTGGCTGGCCGAGTTGGGACCTTGCAGTCGGCTGCGGAGGAGGAAGCACAAAGGGCCTTTCTGCCCGAGCCCGAGAGAAGGTCTCGGGTTACTCAGTAAGGTTCCCTGTCATCTAAATGGTTGCACTGAGCTGGTCTGAAATAAATCCCAGCTATTAATGCAAATAGCTTGATTAATGGTCCCGCATTCAGGGAAGTAAATCACAGGGAAGATCTTTAGTGCTGTGACAAAGATAARTTTAAAATTTGGCAGGGAAACCAACTCTTGTTAAAACAGTCACACCATCAAGCCATTACTATATATATGCAGGCCTGTGTGCCCAGTAGACCTGTGTTTATTTGAACGTTGTTTGCATTTTCATTTGGGGAAGAAAAGACCGGGAGGGGGCCTAARCTGGTTCACTGGTTTTCAGACCTTATTCACCCACTAAACTAATGAAAGTGTTCTACAGGTTTTGTTCCGAATGTTTGTAGAAACTGAACTGGAAACAAAAGCAAGGAAAAAAGCACAGAACTGTTCTTTGTGCTTTACACTGTGACTTGTAGAGATTTTGAGTTTCACCTCCAATTTATGCTGCAAAGGAAGAGGGCAGGGTGTCCAGCTTTGATAAAAGGGCAGTTGCAGCTCTCATTGTAGAGCAGCTTGCAGGGAGCCCCAGGCCCCACACTGGCAAAGCTGTGGGAACCCGTGGGCCTGTGAGAGGAGCAGGGTGGAAACCAGGGCGGCTGGATTTGTCCAATTTCCTTCACCTTATCATTTGCCTTGTGAACTGGAGAGGTGCCCGTGTGCCTGGGAAATGAAAGTTCCCAGGGCTTCAGGAATATGACTGCCAGCGTCCTTGATCTCACTGCCTTGGAAAGTAGCTGCCGAGCAGAACTTGCTTTAGAGACCGCGCTGAGGAGATGTATCRTGGGACACCTCAGCTCTTACTCTAAGCAGATGTGGCACGTGGGCGGCCGATACCTGCAGGGTGGCCCGAGGAGAGGGGCAAGGCCTAAGTAACAGGAAGAGGAGAGAACAACCTCGTTTCCTTTCTCCAGCTGAAGGCTCAACCACAAGGTGAAGGTGCCATGGGCAGCTGAGATGGTCCAAGGAAGGACTTGACTGTTTCAGTCTCACTTCATGTAACTCTCAGTGGAGAACCTTCTGGGCTTCCCATGCTGGTTTTAAACCAGGCAAAAATGATCATTCCTACCAAGCTGTGTCCTACAAACACACATATAACTTGACAATAAATTATTTAGGACCCTTTTTTAGGAATGGGAAGAGGGAGGAAACAACTTGAGAGAGAGAAYGAAAGGATGGCACATGTAAGTCCATAAAGGCAGTCCTAGGTCTTTTCCAAGACACATTCCTATGTATTATATACATACATAATGTGCAGAAGTTTATGCTTTTTCTGAACCATGCTTATTACTAGTCATAATATAGGATGTATTCAGACTTTCCAACATGTGCAGGCTGCTCTGTTGATTGCAGTAGAGCCTGTCTTAGATAAAGATTGGTTTTGACCTCGTTTCCCCATGTATCTTTTTCTGGAAAAAAAATGTGTTGCCATAATGGTTTTTTTTTACATATTGTCAGCTGAAAAATAGGTTAAGTTTGAATGTTTATTCCTTGCTTTTATTTTTGCAGAGGGAGGTTTTTTGCCTGCATGGATGTAAGTGTGTTTAAAGCCTCACAGTTTTCTAAGCTGCACTCTGAAGGCTGATGGAGCACACCCCACATGGCCCCTTTTCCTCTGAAGTGCTCTTTCTAATATCTTCTTTTTTTGTATCTCTTTTTTTTCTTTTTCCTTTTGAAAGCCTACTTCAAAGAAGGTATTGCAGCACTGGGAATGCAAGTGTAAGGATTGGAGGCTAAGTAGGGTAAGATGGGACTGGAAAGGGGGACTATAACACCTTCCTTATCCAGCACCCACCTCTTCCCCAGCGTCTGAAATAAATGACTTCAGAGCCTCTGCGTTTCTATGACACGAGCATTTGCCCTGCTGGCCTCCTGTTTGCACTTTGATGTGGCGTAGAGCGATTGTATTTATTACAGAATTCCATAAATTTCATCAGGAGTTAATCTCAGCCATGTGGACCCAAACTGTGCCTTGGGTCTAATGAGCAATACCCATTGTGGGATTAACTAGAAGGGAAGAGGAGTATTTCATAGTCTGGGAAATGAAGCCTTCTGCAAAGCCTTTCTGCTTGGGCTGGTTCTTTCTGGTGCAAACTCTTGCGCTGTCCGGAGAAGGGGCATAACCAGGGGAGGAGACCCCCTGATGGCAGCAGCGGGTGGGAGATCAGTGTTCCACAGGAACTTCAGGAAAAAATTCTTAGCAGTGAGGGTGCCAGAGCCCTGGCACAGGCTGCCCAGGGAGGCTGTGGAGTCTCCTTCTCTGGAGATCTTCCAAACCCGCCTGGATGCCGCCCTGTGCCCCGTGCTCTGGGTGTCCCTGCTGGAGCAGGGGCTTGGACTGGATGATCTCTAGAGGCCCCTTCCTACCTTAAGGATTCTGTGATTCGATGATTCTGTGAAACCTGAAGAACTGGCAGCGTGCAGCATGTAGCCCACACCGCTTGATTTATTCCTGCTGCAGTCGTGCATCTTGTTGATGGATGCGGTGAAGGACCTCACTAGACTGAATGCCCGGGACACCCGTGAAAAAGCGAGGCTGATATCCTGGCTTTCCAGGACCTGGTGTCATCAGGAAGCAGTGCACGTGGCTGCAGCGTGGGCCCTCAAACACCCTGTGGAGGTAGCTGGATACGGGAGGGTGCCGGGCGCTCGGTGTGGCGCCTACAGGTTTGGTAACATTCTCTGAACCAGCTCGGCAAGAAAATCCCTTCAGGCGTCACACGGTTTGAGTTTAGACCTGCAAGCTGAGCTGGGGTCAGGTGAAGCTCGGCCTGAGCTGCCTCTGTGCCTGGCCTCCGTGAGCTGCAGTTTGTGGCATCRCCGATTTGAGGGTTGGGCTTATGGGGGAACCTGAAACTAGGCGAGTTCAAACCACTCCAGGGCTCTGTGGTTTTTCTGGCAGGGGGAACCACAAGCCTGCGGTGTCTATAAATCAGTGTTCAAATCATTTTACTTCACAGCCTTTCGGATATATCTTGCCTCTCC